GGGGGGGGGGGGGGGGGGGGGGGGGGGAGATTCCCATTCTGCTTTTCCTACTCAACATCATTGCTCCAGAATTTCCTGACTTTCTGCATTAATTATTCCCTATTGGTAGGAACATTACAATCAACACACAAACTTGCTATTATTCTTCCACTCTTTAAGAGAAAAAAAATCCAACTATTTCTAACCACACTAATTATCATCATATTTTATGGACCCCCTTTACAGCAAAACTCTTCAAAAGAGGTGTCTAAGCTGACTTTTTCCAATTCTTCTCTCCACTCATTCTCTCTAAAACTTACTCCAGAAGCAAGAGAGCACACGTGGGGTTCTAGGACAAAGAACTGAGGGCAGCCCCCTCTGCCTAGAAGCAAGCAAGAAAGCACGCCTGGGGTCCCAGGGCAAGAAGCCAAGGGCAGCCCCATCCTCCCAGAAACAGGTAAGAGAGCACACCCAGGGTCCTGGGCAAGAGTGGAAGGTGGCACTCCTTGCTCAGAAGCAGGCAAGAGAATTAACTGAAAACACCATTTCCATGCAGGTGGCCCACCACAGCCACCACCATAGCCACAGCTGCCACAAAAGCAGGTCCATGCCACAGTAGTAGCCACAGCCACTGTGCAGGCATCCTGCCAGGCACTCGACTACACTGACACCAGGAGAGTCACCAGCAGAGACTGGAAAAAGTAGAGGACATCTCTCTCCTCAAAGGCCATTCCAGAGTAACAGAAGAAGCAACTGCTCGAACAGATGACCAGACATCAATGTAGAGATACTAAAAATATCAAAACCCAAGAAAATAATGACACCACCAAAAAAATACAGTAATTTTCAAATACCAGACCCTGTAGAGCAGGAAACACTTGAAATGACTGAAAAGGAATTCTGAGCAACAATTGTAAGGAAACTCACTGAGATATGAGAAGACTCAGACAATATAATAAAACAAGAAAAAAAAATCCAGGATATGAAGGAGGAAATTTACAAAGAGATTAATAACTTTTCAAAGAATGTAGCAGAACTCAGAACTGAAAGATTCATTCAATGAAATAAAAAACACAACCAATATCTTAAGCAGTGGGCTAGAACAAGCAGAAGAAAGAACTTCTGATCTTTAAGATAGTCTTTTCAAAAGAACCCAGGCAGACAAAAAAAAAAAAAGAAAAAAGAATTTTTTAAAAATGAAGAAAATCTAAGAGAGCTAACAGACAATCTTAAGCACACATACATTCAAATCATGGGTGTTCCAGAAGGGGAGGAAAAAGAAAAAGGCATGGAAACCTATTCAACGAAATAAAAACAGAAAACTTCCCAGGTATAAGGAGAGACATGGACCTTCAGATCTAGGAGGCTCAAAGATCCCCAAACAGATTCAACCCTAAAGGATCCCCTCCAATACACATTATAGTCACACTGGAAAAGCTCAAAGACAAAGAGAGAATCTTAAAAGAAACAAGAGAAAAGCGTCAAATCACCTATAAGGGAGCCCCTATCAGACTAACAGCAGACTTCTCAACAGAAACTCCACAGGCCAGAAGAAAATGGGATGATATATTCCAAATACTAAAAGAAAAAAACCTGCCAGCTGAGAATACTATACCCAACAAAGCTATCCTTCAGAAATGAGGGAAAAAGAGTGTATTTTCCAGACAGACAAAAACCATGGGAATTCACCACACAACCAGCCCTACAAGAAATCCTCAAGGGAGAGCTGCATTGGAATCGAAAAAATAAACACTACCTTAGTATCATCCTTAATCCACTCCCAACCACTTGTTTTTCTCTCTCCCTCCCTCTTTCTCTCCCTCCCTCCTTCCCTCTCTCTCTCTCTCATCCACAACACATACACTCCCTATATCTTTATGTCAAAAAAAATACTAATGGTTCCACCTGTAAAACTTATCCAGATCCAATCACTACTTACCATTTTCACTGCTACAACCCTGGTGTGAGCCACTGTCACCTCTCACCTGGATTATTGTTATACCCTCCTAAATGGTCTACCTGCTTCCACCCTTACCCTTTTATAGTCTAATATCAACAAGGTATACATTGGATTGTATCTCTTCCACTCCACCTCATTAAGAATAAAAGCTCATGAATGGTCTACAAGGTACTAACACACCCACTTCATTATTTCCCTATCCTGTAATTCCTCTACTCCACTACTCTCCTCACTGCTCACTTATCTCTAGCCACGCTAGCTTCCTGCTGCTTCTTAAACACATTTGGCAGGCTTTCACGTTAAGGGCCTCTATACCAATCAGTCCTTCAGCCTGGAATGTTTTTGCCCCAGAAAGGCACATAGCTCCATTGCTTCAACTCCTTCAAATCTTCGTTCAAGTGTTATCTTCTCAGGTGGCTTTCCCTAATCACCCCATATAAAACTGCAACCCATTCCTCCATGCTCACATTCCCCATCTGCCTTTCCTACTTTATTTTTTCCCACTTTCCATATAAGTAATACTTATCACTTTCCAACCATATAGTTTACTTTTAATTGTCTGCCTCACCCAACTAGGCAAGGCTTCACAAGGGCAAACATTTTTGTTTGTTTTGTGTACTGCTCTATCTCCATCTAGAATAGTGCCTAGCATATAATAGATACTCAATATTTGCTGAATAAATTAAGCTCAGAGGCAATAGATATTTATTTTAAAATCAGGATTTAGATATTTATTTTTAAATTAGGATTATACATTTCACAATATATAGAAATACGTTGTGCACTGTAAATATATACAATTTTTATTTGTCAATTATATCTTAATAAAGCTGGGGGAAAATTAAAATTATAGACTGACAGGTCTATTTTAGTTCAAACAGTATTATGAAAATGGGTAAGGAAAGGAGGGTTGAGAAGACGAGAATAACAGCAGGGTAAGCAACTGGAAACCTCCTATAAAAGTCCAAGACCTGGACCAGGGCATAAGGCAATAGGTACTCAAAAAAGAAAGATGGGGGGATGGGGGGCATATACTGGCTAGTTGAACATTAGAATAGAGAACCTGAGAAATCAAGAAGTCCAGATTAATTTAACTGTCTCTAAACTTGGGAAACAAAATAGGTGATAAGACAGGGAA